ATATATAGTTGGATTTGAGCTGATGTTTATGTGAGAGCAAACCCGGCCACACCTATTTCTTCCTCTGTCAGTCTAACGGCTTTGATGAACTTGAAGAGATGCATGCGAGACCAAAGCCAGAAATCATGCATCTCTCTTTTTTTTCTGAGGCTCTGTGACATTTTGCCCTCGTGGTACTTTACAGTTTAACATGCATGAAGAGAAATGTGTTTAAGCGACTACGCTTCTGGATTTAATGAGAGAAACGAGGCAAAGCAGACGAGGAAGCAGCAGAAGATCGAGTGACGTGATGCTCTGAAGCACTGAACAACATTTCAGCTTCCTGTGAAACTTCCTCTCAAGCTGTGAAAAAACCAAACCGTCTCATCAATGCACTTTTGTGTTTTAAACATCCGTTTCCGAGCGGACTGACAGCTTGACACCTGCGTGTGTCCACGGGAAGAACATTTTCCTGTCTGGATTTGCCCTCAATGATCAACGTCACTAAAAACAGACGTGAAAACGGAAGTCATTTAGTGACTGCAGCTGGGTTATTTTAGTTAACTAAATCTAAAACCATTACAAAATAAACAAATAAATAATTACTTGAAATAATGTTAACTAAAAAGAAAAACATAAGCAAATGATTCTCCTTTGACCGAATTTGTAAATGAATTGTTCCTTTGAGTCAGTTCGTTTTATTGATTTGGTGGAGTTCAAACTGTGCATTTGGAACTATAAAATATTTAGATATTTAATTCAATACAAAAGAAGAGCATGCAAAATACAAAAAGATTCGTTCGAAAGAATCGACTCACTCAATCAGATGCTGAGTTTAAACCTTTTCATGCGTTTCTTGTAACTTATCTTCTCTGCGTGATACATGTGTGCATTTTTAACTCATTTACATATCACACACTTGTTATAGTGTGCTATAATCTGACCAGATTGAATCATTTTCATGCAGGGTAGAGATATAATATAGACTTATTATAGTATTTTATAGAATATAGAATATAATATTTCTAATTATAGAAATATTTATAACTAATACTACTTTTTTTAATTGTTATAAAATAGTATTTTATTTTAATTTTATTGTTAAATAATATATTATATATATATATATATATTAATATATGTGTGTGTGTGTTTTAATAGTTTGATTAGTTTTAATGGTTTGAATAATTTTATATAGAAGCCTTTTTCCACCATGACTTTCTCACACATTTCTGACTTTTTTCTTGCAATTCTAAGGGGAAAAAAATATCTGAATTGTGAGAAAACTCAGGATCGGGGAATACAAACTCAAGATATAGTTGCAATAGTTTATAAAGTTTAACTCCAGGTACTAAAATATCTAAATACTGAAACTGAAATAAAAATGAATAAAAACTCATATAAAATATATATTTTTTAAATACTAAAAATTACAAAAACACAACAAAAGTAGTAAAACTTTAAAAAAATATATGATTCAACTGATTCAAAATATGAATAAAAACTATAATACACTCTCAATGCTACTAAAATAACCCTGGATTATAATGCATGCTGGACGTCATGTCTGATGATCTAATGCAGAGATCTGCAGAAGTGAATATTTAATGACTATGATGCTTATTTCTATTTTGGTAGAAATGAAATCATAGGTTTAAACAGGACATTCAGCCAGACACATTGTGGGAAGAAACATCTTTGCTGCCTTCAATAAATGACCGTCTGAGTGTTTTCAGGATTCAGACACAGCCATACTATTACTGACTTCAAACAGACAAAAGCTGGACGATATGACATCTAGTGGCTGAAATCATCTGTGCACATCAAGCATTCAGTGTACAAACCACAAACAATCATAAAACAAGCATAAAACAAAATACACTGCAAACCCAAACTCACAGCAGATGTCATTGCATTAAATCACAGCGGCTGTATCTGTGCTAGAACGCTGCAGGATTCATGTCAAATGATTTGCTTTTTAAAAAAGATGCACTAAGATACTTCACAATAAATGACAATTGATTTAATATTGTGTAATAATTGTGAATTAATCATCTTTGTGCCACTGCTTCATAACAACAAACGCAAAAACAACCCATCCAAAAATAATCCCTAAACTCATTTATCCATGAAGTGAATTTTGCTTTGAATAATCCATGAATTATCTAAGAATAGTTTGTTTTACAATCCATGTTCATACTGCCATAATCAGATGCAGTTTCTACGGAAAAAATAATAATTTCACATAATTCCCAGCTATTTACAATTAATATTTCTCAAGTCAATTTCTGTATAGGCACAAACTTAAAGTCTCGATTACAAAAACACCAAACTCTGAACCCAGTAGCGGGGCATGTTGTCACATTACAGTATATGGGGTAAGTTGTCACAATAGGAACCTGCTGTTTATTGACACTGACTGAAGAAGAATTTGTTGAAATATGAAACAAATTTAAAATCTATTATGTTTTAAAATTATTTAATGGCTTATTCAGCTAAATTTAAAACGGTAAGACCATTATTAAACATAAAATAAATCAAAAAGTGGCTAAAATAGAAATGGTATCCCATTGTGGGGTTTATCAACTCAAAAGCAATTAAAATAGGAGGAATTTAGTTTGGAGGACAGGATTCACAACCCAAAAAATATATATTTTAAGAGTTTTTACCTAGATGTTTAAAACTAAACCTCATATAGATCTTGTGACAACTTGCCCCAGCCTCTACTTTGAGCTCAAACTTCTTAAGATGAACTTTCAAAAGTCTTATGAACTTCAAAGGCAGATAAATCACCATCCTTCACTTTAAATGTACCTATACTGATCAATTCAGTGTAGTTTCTTGCCAGACTCTTTCCAACCAGAGGCAAAATGAGTTTTAATTGGCCTCATTTCTATAATGATCTCCACAAATGACCTCTTCTGTAGCCCTACAAAGACCACTTTATCTGACTTTATCTCAATCCCTAACGCAAACTCCTCTAATCTAGTACTGACAGGGTCAAACAGATGGATTATTCATAGAGTTCTGATGGCTATCAGAACCGAACAGCATCGAAACGAACTTCATCACCATTAATCTTCATAAGCGTGACTCTCGATCCGCACATTAGCATTTCAATCCACTAATATCAAATAGCTTTTATGTGGATTGATAAGATTTTGGCATGTAGGTTTCATCCATATTCGATTATATTTTATTTAATGCTAAGTTTCTAATTTGAGATGCTAGGATGAAGCTCACGAAGCCTGTCAAGAACACCCACAAACCCATTGAAAAATTCTAATATTTTGCATTTTTTCCACATTTATTTCCTGAAAATTAATGAAATGTTTCGTGTTTTAATGTTGGAGTGTCGTTATGACAATATGACATTCTTTGGTGAGATTTATCCTATTAAATTGATTTGTTTACATTCCTTCCTTCAGTCAGTCAGATATGAATTTACCTGTTTTCTTCTCGCTGTCGCATCAAAAGCGCTATAAACTCAGCTCAGGGTGTGAAAAACTTCATAAAGTTATTCAAATATCAAAATGATGTCCGTAAATGTCTACGTAATCGTTAGTTTCATCGAGTTCTCTTGTTTACTAAACTACAACAAAGTAACTCACAGCGATACATTCGCAAACGATTCTCTTTTGATTGTTGCGACGTCTAATTCGAAAACGAATCGTTCTTTTGAGTCGGTTCTTTTAAATGATTCGGTCGAGTTCAAACCGTGGTTTGAAACACTGATCAATTATACTAGATCAGTGGTCTGGAACTGTAAAATACAGAACTGGAACGGTCTACTACATTTTAATTCACTTCGAAAGAAGCGCTCGTAAAATACACAAAGATTCATTCGAACGAATCGACTCACTGAATCAGATGCTGAGTTTAAACATTTCCATGCGTTTCTCGTAACTTATCTTCTCTGCATGATACATGTGTGCGCTCTAAACCCATTTACATATCATACACTCGATATAGTGTGTTATAATCTGACCAGACTGAATCATAGTCGTGCAATCTAACGCAGAATCAGTAGCATGCCGCTACACTGACGCTCAGATCAGATCCGGTCTGTCTCTAGCGCACACTGGTTTTTATGCTGCGCTCTTTTCACAACTGCAGCAATGCACGTAGCCTACATCCATGCATGTGAGGAGAAGCTCGATCACATAAAGCACTGCAGAAACTTAATCACTCACCATCACCGTGAAACAGCCTCCGCCTTCACAACAGAGCAAACACACTCCAGCAAATCTCTGCACGGTTGGAATCACTCGGGAGAGAAAGAAAGAAGGCACTCGTGGTTTGGAAGACGTGTTTTCTCTCTCTCTCTCTCTACAGAGAATGTATGTGAGTGTGTGGTGTAGTGTATATTTTAGTCTATCTAGTCATTCTTATCAAGTTCCATAAAATGTTTCATCTTTTTTTTTCAGTGAAGGATAAATGCTGCCTTATATTTTTAAATAAAAAATCCAACCCTGCTTTTCATAGTAATAGACACACGCTCACACACACACACACATTTACATACATATTGTATATTGTACATATACAAAATTGCAAAAATAAATTAAAAAAACTACACACACACATACAGTGCACATACACATAAAGTTGCACATACACACACACACATAAAGTTGCAGATACATATATTTGCAACTTTATTTGTGTGTGTGTGTGTGTGTGTGCGTGCGTGTGCAACTTTCTACAATATTCTACTACTAGTAACATATTGAAGCTCAAGTAACAAAATGGCAAAGAATTAAAATTATATATATATATATACTGTATATATATATATATATATAGTCTAAAAACATATAACCTACAATATTTTACTTAATATAAAATAATATTTTACTATAAGCAGCCTATATAGATTAATAAATACTTAAACTATTACTTAAAATTCATTAAAATGTTTACTACTCATCTAATACCCATTAAATATATTATAAAAAGAACTATATACAAAACAATATTTTTCTTAAACCATATGGTTCTAACAATAATTATATCAAATGAGGCATATGCAAACTTGCAAAATAAATAAATAAATTACACACACACACCAGACACACCATGACTTAAAATTCATTAAAATATTTACTGTTCATCTAAATTAGCTGTAACTTAAGCCAGCATGGATATTGCTGCAGACGTAGGCTACATCTCAAAATAGGATGTGCAAATAATATTTGTCTTGAATCTTTCGATCTGTAAGTGTTATGTTTAATGCATTTGATGAGGGTCGAGTAAAGACACTTATATCTGGCCTTGGCTCGAGCTCAGCGCTGTAAGTGTTAGCACACTCTTCAAAGGACGGGCGACTCCGGTGACGTCACGAGGCGCAAGGTGCTTTAATTGTTCGCTGTAAAATATGCGCCTCATTTCCACACGAATAGATGATGAGCTGTCAAGGCATGTCAGTTTCCTTTAATGTCCTCTGCTGCTTGTTAAATATGCAGGGGGCCAGAGGGAGGGGGTATATAAGCTCTCCTGGACCCTCAACCTGTCATTCTGACCTCAGTCCATCATGAACGTACTCGGAGCTGTGCGCCTGGCCTGCTTCCAGCTTCTGCTTCTTGGAGTATTTGGAAAGCACGCTAATCACGGCACGAGGAATATGTCATCCAGAAGCCACCGGCATCATTTACCCACATACATGATGCAGCTCTACCGGAACTTCAAGCTCAACCAAACGCGTCCCGTGGAGACTATAGAGCACGAGCAAGCGGACACCATCAAGAGCATCCTCTCCAAGAGTAAGATTTGCTATTCTTTTCTATCGTGCTTAGCTGCACTAAAGTTTGGGAAGGAGTCTCTGAAGCTCTTTTTGGCTCCTGGCTGTCAAATCTCAGCGCCAGACTCCTTCAATCCACATTGTCCTCCACCAGGACTAATGCTCTGCTGCGCAAAACTGATGTGGATTAGAGCCTCGCCAGACATCCTTTACACAAACCCAAATCAACATCAGCCCCTCGGCTCTTGTTCACACGTCGCCTGATTAGATTAGGAGCGCGGGCACGGGGCGTTTAACGGGGGTCTGGAGGTGTTAAACGATGGGTTTCGATCCGGTGTTCGTTCTGAAGGGATTAGGCTCGCGCTGCCTTGCCCCTCCGTTAAAATAAATCTAATATCTGATCGATACTGCATGACTTTTCATCAGACTGATTATCTCTAATTCAAGAAATGAGACTAGTTTAACTGATGTGGTCTACACTGAGTGTGGTTCTTAATATCTGATATACTAAACTTAAACTAATTTGCATAAAGATTTATTGTGGGGGGGGGGGGGGGGG